CATGTCTATGTTTTTGTGTGTGTGTGTGTGTGTCTTGGTAAGCTTTATTGCACCGTGCCAGCTCACAAATACAAGCACACTAAAGTGGTGCCATAACTATTGTAAAAGAGCAGCTTACGCTGTGACAGACCACTCAGCAACCAACCCTGCACTGTACTGAAACCCAATGAAACAGACTCGGACCAGGATCCTTAGACTTAGATTAGTTTAATCAGTATTTTCTCTTAAGTCAAATACATTACCCATTCATATTAGTTTTCAGATGGCTTTGATTGTATAAAGATTCAACCCAGTACATTGTACAAAATTGTGTTAAGTTGTAACCTTCATTTAAAAGAAAGACCCAACAATAACCCAACACCAAAAATGGACTCATTTTTAAGACGAAACCAGTGCAGAAGAACAGAGGAGTTCTGAGGAGCTGCAGTGAATCATCTAATAAGGCCAGCGTGTATTGTTAACGATAATGACAGTGCGAGTGTGTGTGGGTGTTTGGTGCATAATTCAAAGAGTAACTGTTTCAATTTTCATGCTGCCTATAGCTCCGTGCCACCGTGGGTCTCTAACTCATCCGACTCCTGTCGAGCTGCTGTGATCTCAGGCATGAGCACAGTGATGACATGAAGGTGCAGATGTCAGTCCTACGACCCGCTGCAATCTTTTAGGAGCCATTAATGTGACAGTCGTCTGGATGGAGCGACAGGAAGTCGACAGGTTTATCATTTGAGAGTTTTAGGCGGCATTTCACGGAGAAGGGAGAGTTACCCAGTGCAAGCTCCTACCTAATTAGTCACCACACTGCAGTGCCATTTAATGCACAGCACTGTGAAAGTCATAAAAAAAAGTAAAGGTATCAAAATAATTGACTTGTCCCCCTGCACCCGGCAGTCGTATTCAAACAACCTTGACATTCTAAAGTCTGTGCAGCTTTCCAGACATTTAATTGCTCTCAATTTACAAAGTGCAAATTGGCACTACACTCATAAAAGCACTGGATGCCTCGCTTTGTTTTCACACCGACAGTGTGTCGCTGCTTGAGGCAAATCGCTGGTTTTGATTAGCAGCCGTTTGTGCAGCACCTAAAAGGTTAAATTACGTTAACCACTGTGCTGAGTCCTTTTTAATGTTCCATTAATGAAAATGTATTTTAATCTGACATGTGACACTGAGCTAATGCATCTGTCATCCATGATTAGGTGTTTTCGTCATCCACAGGTTAGTTTTTTGTTTTCTTTCTTAACTTTTTGTCCTTTTCTTTGCCACCTACGCAGCCTTTGGAGGTGATTCCTCCAGATGAGCATCTGTCATCAGACACTGAGCAGGTTTTTCTGTTTCCTCCAGTTCGTAACATTTCACTCACGCTGCTCCTCTTTGTCCTCAGGCTGAGGGTTTTTGAAATTCAGCAGCCATGACCTTGCATTGCAGATATGTAAGCGGCACCATGACCACACACACATGCCTCCACACACTCACACACTCATTAATACACACTCAGAGGCAAAAAGGGATTAGGTTTCACTTTGGCTGAAATGTTAAGTGATGTGGATTTTCAATGACAGTTTAACTTGGATTACAGAACAGTGTCAAAATATTAATCAGCTGCATTTTAGACATCAATGATTTAGTCCCAAAAGGCCATTTGGTTGGTTCTTGGATTAGTTTGGACAATGATAAGGGATATCAGCAGTGTCCAAATAATACTAATTAAAACCAACTCCTCTGACACTTTTTCAAAGTATTCAAATTAGTTTTACAAAAACATAAAGCGAGCTTTTTCAATGCATGAAATAAATGAGTGGTGTTACAGTAACTGGCTTTTAGCTGTACAGAGCTGCTTTGAATTTTCTAGTTTTTCAAAGCTGTCCTTAAAAACCTACTTTGGTTTTATTATTAGGTCATATGGTACAGAGTTGTCCTTACAACATGTCTGTAGATTTACTGCTAAGCATACTCAAAGTATCACTAGAGAGCATCGCTGTAGTGCAAAGATGTAAAGATGTCATCAGTTGTTCTGCCATAATTCGACCTTTTTTCCATAAAAACTTCACAAAGGATTTTTATTTCACACATTCTGACGACTATTTTCTCAGATTCTCAGTGTCATTCGGTGCCAACTACACCATGTTCCCCCTCAGCCGTGTTCACAGCCAAACTTGGAATAGTTTTGACTTTAATTCCCATGGTTCCTTGGGTACGACTCCATTCTCAGCGAGTTTCTTCAGAGTTTATAAATATTTACAGAAGCGACTCCTTTTTCCCCCTCTTCTCACTTCTGAGGACTCCTTTTCTCGCCTCCTCTTTTGTTACAGACAAACTAACAAGGATGGAAGCGGAAGGATAAAGGCCTGATGTGTGAAAACATGGAAACCAATGCTTTCATTGGATTTAAAAGTACTTCCCTCTAAGTACACTGCCTTTCCTCTTTTTAGAAGTTTGCAGAGTCACTGCAGCAGCAGGGTTTAGGCTGTGGGATACTTGGATGAAAAGACTGAATAGGTTTTTGTCTGCTTAGGTTATTCATAGCCAGGTCTGTATTATTCACTGGAATAACAGCCCACATGAAGAAACTACAGCGTTGAGGTCAACAATGGTTGTGGTGCTCAAAGCCCATATGAGCACAACAGGAAACCACTGATGGAACAGAAAAGTTGAACCCAAAATAAACAGACTTTTCTATCAGATTATATAATTGTATTCCTGAACTCAGACTTGCAGATGTGAAGGACGTTCCACGTTCCACATTTGTACGACATTATCTCAAATGCTGCTCAACAAAACCATGAATATTTTTCGATCCCCATCTCCGAGTGTGCAGATATTCAAAGCTCGTCCTCATGAATTATTGACAAATACGGTGGAGTTTTCTCATCAGTGTTAGACAGCGCAGCATTTTATTCTCTCCGCTGCAGTTTTCTAAACTAAAATAGATAAGTGAAAGCCAACGTACTCAGAGAGAGCATTCTGTCTAAATGCAAAGAATAAGGAGAGATAAGAGAAACGTAATAATGGTGTTTATTTGGAAGAGAGCAGAATTATTTTACACTTTCACTTTCAATGAGCCCAAAGCTGCAGTGTTCAAAGCCATGGGCTCAGCGATTGCGATGGAAATGGGACTAACGCAGATCAAAGACTGGTTATTTCAGCATTAGTCACAGTCTTCACACACCAAGACTCTTAGATAATGCTTTATCTGAAGCTCTTTTTTTCCAGCCAGTTAGACCGATAGTTCGAATTACTTATATATAGTCTTTTATTGCATATTTGCATTGCACAAACCCAGAAACAGGCACCTGTTAAATTTAAGCAAATTTGTCCCATCAATCACGAGGTTCAAAAACGTCCGGACACTTGCACGTGCAAGTTTTATTCCCCCAAATTGATAAAAGTTTAATGTGCTTGGGTAAATGTAATTTCAAGAGTGAATAAAGTGGCAACCTGAGGTTAGAACTGCAGGCGGTACTTTATTAAAATTAATTAATTAATTCTGCCACACTTTTCTGCCAGCATGATGAATAAAATAAGACAAAGTGTGTCTTATTATTACTGATAGACTATTAGGATTTCTATTCCATGTATTTCTTACATAAGTTGATGCAGCGATTGCCATCCAGCCTGTGCAGAGGTGAAACAAAATCTTTTCCAATCAAGTTAAATGTAAATACCTTTTCCCCGAGGCCATTCTCTCCTGTGTAGGAAAAAGAATGACAGCAATAAAAACTGTTGCCTAGAAAATAATTCAACTCAGAAACCATCAGCGTGGGCTGTGTCTGTAATTAGAGCACAAAAATGTGTCCGGGTGTGAAAGCCGGCAAGGTAATAGGAAACTGCAACTCTACTGACTTGTCACTGGTGGACAAATGTGAAAAATTCTTAAGTAGATGCTTCTGCACTGCTGCACCATCAGTGAGTGAAACCTTGTAAACAGTCAGGAAGGACCGCAGTACTGCAGTCAAGTGTTTGTTTGTCAGAGGAAGGATGTGAAATCCCCTTTTGAACAGATCGGATACAAACAGTGGAGAAGGAGACACGTTCCTCCACACTGTCTCGTTTGCCCAGGCAAACACACCTAACACTGTGGAACTCTGCCCTTTTCTTTTGATCTGCGGTGCTTGTTATCTCAATCTATCTGTGCGTCTGGCGTCGAACATCACTTGTTTAGCATATTCTGGTGCAAAAGGGAAAGTGGAGCACGCACGTCGTTGTGTCTTAGGAGCATTTTTTGTTGAAATCCCTTTTGACTGGGAACACATCCTAATATAGTCGGCTCAGCTGCGGTTTATTCAGTGACATAGACATGATCTTGTGATTCAGTTTTTACACATACTTAAAATAAGACCGTGTTCTGCAACAACACGGCTGGAGCAGACTCAGACAGCAAACGTCATCCTCTAACATCTTTTCCAAGGTCCTTAGAAAAGATGTTAGCAGAACATTACTTTTCCAAGGTCCTTAGAAAAGATGTTGGAACATTGGTATTTTATTTTTTTCATTTTTCCTTGCCTCTGTTACACTCAAATAATGTAATCAAATAGAAAAAAGGCTGTTATGAAATCAGCAGTAATTGTATATATTTACACAGTTGAGTGAAGTGAAGTTGAAGAGAGCAAAAAACCACAAAGTTTGAAACTATACTGTGAACTAAAACGCTGACACATACTGTGATGGTGGCTTTAAGTGGGCGTAAATGTGAACACGACTGCAGTACAACAGCACAGTGTAAAGTTGAGTCCTGCTGTTTGTGTTTGTGTGGAATGCCAAGTGTTGCTGCTTTTATGTTAAACAAATGTGATGGTTTTTATTGAAGTTAAACGAGGTTCTCTGCACAAGGCTGAGCTGCAGCAGAACTTCACAGATGATTCTCTCTCTGCTCCTGGCCTAAACACCTACACCACACCACATGACTCAACCTCCTGTTGGATTTGTTTTAAGGACACCTCGAGCATCTCAGTTGCACTCAGACTCTTCTATTGGACTGCCAACGATACACACAAGACAAGGAATGCTTTTAAGAAAGGCCATCCTTCCTTTCTGATTTATTTGTCATTACATTTGAACATGTCTTTATTTGCAGTATTTACACTTTGCCTTCACACGTCGACAGGTAGAACAGAACAGATTGTTTCCATGACGTCACCTTCTTTTGGCAAAAACGTGAGAAAAAGAAAACACTATCACTCTGACATCAAGGAACGCATTAAGCAAATGTCATTAGTGCCTGGATGTTTACATCAGCTCATCACAATTAAAGAAAACAACTGCCGTGAAGCCAACATACTGTTGAAACACATTGAACCACACCGGGTTGCGAAGGGAACCAGATAGAAACACATCGTCCATCATCATAATGACACGCCACATAACACAAAGCATGTTCATCGCTACTTTCAATGAAGGTGTCGCTCCGGAATGAGAGCAAACATTTCGGCATAGTTACAGGAATGTAAATGATGTGTGCAGAAACAGACCAGTGGTTCGTGGGTCACGGATTGGACAGGAGCAGCAACGAGGACAAAAATCAGTGTTACTGACCACAGTAATGGGGCTCCAGGTGATAACTACAAACTGATTTTTTTTAACTAATATTAAAAATAACAGTTGAAATAAATGTAATTGTGCTATTTTAGATCTCTTTTAGGTCTTTTCAGAACAAACCATTACAGGAAGGTTATTGTGCACCATTAATGTCAGGCCTGACTGATGCTGGACTCATCCCACATCTAGACTCATTATTATCATAATGGACAATAAAAAAAGAAAAACATCAAGGATTTGATAAGCCCTTATTCTTATTTTATTGCCCCTGGGGGCTAAATAAAATAAATCCATATCTGAATCTTAAAGCATAAGTAATAATTCTGGTCCCTCAACTGTGCAAGAGTAAATATTCCCAAAGAAAATTAATTTGAATTTCTTTGATTCAAGGATTTAGCTTTATGTTTTGTATGGAGGAGTTAAAAGTATTGCAGAAGAATGTTTTCATGGCGTGATCAATTTTAATATTAGCCTTTTAATGATCTGATTAAAAAGCTCTAAATCCGCTCAGTCATGCGGAGCCTTGTACTGCTGCCATTATAAAGACATGCAAAGAATAACTGATTACAGCTGCATTCCAAGCTTTTGGAATCCCAATATATTTTTTTTTTGTCATATGTGCAGCCCTGCAGTATGAGTAAGGCCCAAATTAAAGTGACACCACAGACTTGACTCGCAGCATGACTTCTGTATCCCGTGTGAATGGCTAATGCCTGATTTCATAACGTGTTAGCAGAGGCTGACACGTTTTCAGGGAGACGTAGTTATGTGTGCGGGGTTTCATTTCCAGTCTGATTCTGACCACCTGACATCAGGGCTTCAGACACCACAACATGACAATTAACACTGGGATAATCACAGCGCCCAGAGACAACAGGCAACGCAAGAGACAAACATGAAAGAAAAGAACATTTATATGGATGTCGGCAAACTGCAGAACATCTGGCACAGACAGCTTTTCTGAGATGTCTTGGCACACAGTTGAGATTCTTGTAATTAATGCCAGTGCATATTGTTCTCTCTCTGATTGTTTTGTGATATTTTTCCATCTCTTTTTTTCCCTTGATGTGATCTGTGGTGAGTTCTTCCATATTTTTCTGTAACTCTGAGTGTCCTTTTGTGTTTCCCTCTGAGGCAGTTCACTCACAGACAATGCTCATATTTAGAATTTATGTTTCACTCCTGTGTGGCAAACACGTGACTCAACCCTAACTTCAGCTTCTGTGTCAGAGAATGATTTTAGTTTTTTTAGTCATCCTCTGTCACTACTTCATAACTGCATAAGTGCAAGATGTTCTTGTATTGGTTTGATTCAGACATTTCTGTGAGGCAGCCACGAATGATTAAACCCACAGGGGTTATAAAAAATGGGATGCAAACAGGGCTCCACGTGGGTTACCTTCATTACTCAAACCCTCTGCTATAGGGAGGAAAAAAAAACCCAAAAAAGCTACCCAACACCTCCCTTTTTTACCCTCCATCTTGACCATTCTTCAGTCTCTGTGGCTAATCTCGGCTGACAGAACGCCTGCAGGGAAAAAGACAGGACAAAAAGAAAGGTGGAGGAAGAAAACTGTATATCCCCGAAAAAACTTCCCTTGAAGTCTGCAGGGGTGATGCTGTTCCCCAGAGGGGGTTGTTGTCTTCCCGGGCTCCCTGGAGGTGTGTGTGAAGGGCAGCTGTGACTACTATATGTGTCCTGGTTTCGAAAGGTAGGCGACGAGAGCTACCACCACACCCACGTACACGCCAGTGCCTATAGTGATGGAGAGAGCTGCGAGGAACAAAGCTCGTCGGGAGGCGATGTTCGCCAGGGGGAAGTCTCCTTTGTTCACCGCCTTAGTGGTCTGCAAGAAAGGAGATGCGAGACAAAGGATGTAGTGTCAAATACCACGTCTGGTGGAAAGAGAACAAATCATTTTTTTGGAAAAAAACAACAACCATAATTACAGGAGCTATTTATTATTTCTCTGGCACTGTGCAGAAAACAGAAACCGTGGGCTGGGCCCCATTGACTGAGAGGTTCAGGGTAACCCAGGAGAGCTCATCATGCGTGACAGGTCTGAAAAAAGGCAATTAGTGTGAAAATGTCAAGGGCTGGATGTTATGATCATCTCCACAGCAAGCACCCAATGATAAACGACACGGGAGAAAAGCACATTCATCATAATTTGTCATGAAAAAAATCACTAAGAGAATGTTGAACAGATAAGAAGCAGTAATCTGAAGTGCTTCCTTTGTTTGCTTCAGAGAAAATGAACTAAAACTCAGCCCTTTAATGCACCTGCCGTGCGTCGGTGCAGTGTTTTCTAAACATGGCCCAGTTTTCATGTGCAGTATTTAAGGTTATAGTGCATTTTTACAGGCCACTAGCCACGTATCGCTGCTCTCTGTGGTGTGGTGTTAACACTTCTTCTTCAACTGCTGGTGTGGTGTTAACACTTCTTCTTCAATAACTGCAGCTTTCTGCAAGCTTGGTTTAAACCCCCAGGTCCAAATGTTTGTTTTTTAAATACCCCGGCAAAATAATAATATACAAAAATAATATTGAAATGTTCACTGAACTTTAATGCTCAGCTAGGTTCAATTCATATCCATTTTCAAAAAACAAACAGAATAGATTTATGTTAGAGAAGAATCTATATATTTTCATCTGACTATTTCTATACATTTTTCCATTGTTATTCTCTCACAAACAGAAACAGTGGGCATTGTTGTTGTCATTCTAATTGTATTTCTTTCTTTGTCTTTGGGACAGTGAGAAACAGAACACAGAATACTCTTCCAATAGGTGGCAGCAGGTGGCTGTAAAAACCAAAAATAAATAAATAAATAAATAAGGGCACTGAGCTGCTGAAGAAGATCTTTGTGTGTCTTTCTTCAATTTCTGAGTATTTCAGCGTTGAGGCCAGCCAAACAGATTCAGTTTTCACACTGAGTAGCTAAATTGAAAGTAGAAGATCACTACATGTAGTTACATACTTTTTCAAATCCAAAATATGTGTAGGTGCTGAAAAAATGTTAGAAAATGATGTGGTTGTTTGAGCACAGATTCAAATGTCTTTGTTTTTCTGTTCATTTGTAGAGGGAGTAAAAAAACGCTGCTTTAGATTTACAACTTATCGGGATTGAAGTTTCCTCTTGTCCAGCGTCCCCCTCGATTTGTCCCAGCTCCTCCCATAACCACTGTACAATAGGTGGGACAGAAAATGGACGAACGGTGTTTTGTTTTGTTTATCAAGCCCATTGTTGATGTGTTTGCATGGCTGTTGTGCTCGGTTCACTCTTGTTATCTCCGTATGTGAAAAGGACTTTTCCTGCCAGGAGGGAAACAGAACGCCACTCTTGATTTGTTGCTTTCATTCACACTGGTGAATAGAGGTCGGCACTGCAGCAGACATTACCAACAGCAGAGACTGTAACTGTGTCCTTGTTCGGACTCTGCATTGTATAGTTTTTTTTTCAAGAATTCATTTCCTCCCATCATCTGCCTCTTAAACAAATGTATGCTGTTTCCAAACGCTGTCACATTTTAATCCCTTAATTTTTTTTTCCCTGCAAGATGAAAACCAACGGTCAGCAGTTCACAGTTTTGCTTAATTCCAGCCATTGTTTGTTCTATATACAGCCTGGACTGTTTGTTAGAATGCGTTTGTATTCATCAGCGCAGTTTGAAAAGCAGAGGCTTTGTATGTAATATAATGGCATTCATTCGACGCTGTGTTCTGTCCATTTTAACACAAAGGAGCCGATACGTGACGAGTGTGAGATAAAGGCTGCACCAGGGTCACAGAGCCGCCCTGCCACAAATAAACAAGGTTACGTTTCTTATTCAAGACTGAGTGACTGTCAGTTTGGATGAACTATCTACACTGATGGGGACTTTTTATCTGTCGGTGCTAGTGAATAGAAAAACTAAAGCTTTTAGAAAACCTTGTTTTGACCTTCAACTGCACCCATGACACAAATGAGCTTTCTTTGCAGGCATGCAACACACTGTTCTTCAAAGCCGAGTTATGAATTCAGAAGAAAGTCACAGCGTGTTCTTTTTTAAGAGCAACAGCTGGTTCAGAAGTCTGGGCCTGCAGCTCTTTTCATTGTGAGAGTGCTGTTGCGTGCAACTAAAGGAGAACCCTGAAGTTAAAAAAGACAAAAATTCTACACAAGCATAATATAACATTCTTGGCAGTGGTTCCCAAAGTGGTGGGGCGGGGTTTCTTTAAGAGGCAAGGCAAACTTAGTTTGTTTAAATAATGTTCATTTGAGATCTAAAACATGTGTCGACCTAAGGAGGCGCCATAGTTCAGCTATGACATTTCTTTGTCCAAGTCTTCGTGAAGCTTCCTCTACTGTCACACCAATCACATGTTCTCTGACCATGGCCAAACCTGTCACTTTTAATAAAAAGGACAGCAAAGAGACTAAGATTAATTAGAAAAAAATAACATGGCAGAAAAACTGCATCAAATAACATTTCTGCTCACTATTAAAGCAATAACTGAGTTGGAGCTTTAAATGTCGTGACATCAAACCCCTCCATCATCAAAACCTCAAAAGTTGAAACGAGATATTTTACATAATCCTCAGAGGCTCCGCCCCTTTTATGTAACAGCCAATTTGCTCTTATATTAAAACTACTATGATGCATCCTGTTAATTAGATTTTTATTTTACTTCATTAAAAAATGTTATTTGTGATAGCCTCTCTGCAGCATCAGTGTAGCTGTCATTTTCAGGATTTTCCCTTTAATTCCCTGAAGAGAGACATGGTTAGGGAGATCCATTTTATTTGCACAACCGTGATAAAATCGACGAGATAACAGATAAGATCTCAGACTTTCAGCCTCATGGGAATCTGTGCTGGGGTTTGCCCTCAGTGGAGCAGCTTTAACTGGCTTTCTGTCTTTCTCTGTATTTCCTTCTCGGTGTTCCTGTCTCTTCACTTCCTCCACACAGACACACGACTGTGAAATACACAGTGTTTCACGACTGCTCATTCATTCTTGTACGTTATGATGGCTCGTGTACCATCACATAACTTTGGATGGAGTCATATTAGCATAACCGTGACGGCAACCACCGCTGCATCTCTTCTCTGTTCTCTCTGTTTCGGCGCAGATGTCTCAGAACCAGGAGAAATATTTATCAGCACCTCCAAACAAAACACCCTGTTAGTGGCAGTAATTGAAACTCAATTCCATTTCCCAATCAAACGCTGGAAGCTAATTTCCCTGCATATTCATGCTATTGTAGTCATTGCTCTGTGTGTGTGTGTCGTGCATGTTTGTCTGTGTCTCAGCTTTTATTGTGTAATCCCAAACTGTTTACCATCAACATCTCACGCAACACACCGAAGATCTAGTGCTCCTGTGTGTGTGTGTGTGTGTGGCAGACATCAGTGTGTATTTAGATGTGACACCCTCACTGAGCTCCTTTATCACTAAGCCATTCACAGCTCTGTTTGCGTCAACAGCCCTGACCTTCCATTAGGACAAAAGGCTATTGATCTTCTGTCCACTGACTCTATTACAGCTGCTAACTTCTTCTCTTTATAAATGCCCTCGCACTTAGTGGTCACACTGATGTGCTGTCATTTTTTTGAAAACGTTATTCCCGACTTGTCCCGCTGCCATCGAGTACTGATTTTACTACACAATCCTCAGTCAAGTTTACAGATTTTGTTTTTTTAATGCAGTGCAACTAAACAAAGAGTAAGCGTATGATATGAGCTTCCAACACTGTCAGGTATTTTCACTGCTGTGTGTATTTGTATCCTGGCTGAATAAACATGTCTTATTTCTACCACTAATCAGAAAGAAAGAATAAATAATACCAAAGAACCGCAGGTGTGAACTGTGTTAAAATGTGATGTTCCAAGGAAGGAAATGGCTGCATTTATATATAAAAATAGCATTCTGATTCAGATCTAAGTGAAGGTTTAATTAAAATATAATTGTTGAATACTGACTGAAGAACTCTATGTAATATTAGCAAAAGTAAAAGTAAAGTTTCTACTTTGCACAGACTGTAATTAATGGTTGTATTAAATATTGCAATATTTCCAGATATGAGAGAACACAGATGATTTGTGTGGTATTTGTATTTAGCATTTAGCCTCAGGTAAACTTGGGTCAGTGTGCTAGAATTTCCAAGCCGCAGATTCTTTCCCTCTCCCACACATCAAAGATCACAGCTAATGGAATGGTGTGTGTGTGTGTGTGTGTGTGTGTGTGGTCTGCTGAAAACTTACACTATATCCTGTTAACTCCTACAGAATTACTCCATTTAATCGGGCAGAGCTTCCCGAACAATTGAATAAAGTGAAGCCCAGTGAAGTGGTTTATTGCGCTATAAAGTGAAGTGATCCCAGACTCCCACCATATTTTCCTCCTGACAGCTCGGGTGGACCGCTCCATCCAACTACACCTTCTCCTAAACACAGCCATCACTTCGCCATAATTACCCCGGAAGAATCAAATTAGCTACTGACAAGATAATTTACTGACTGCCGTCATGTGCCTCGGTCCGTAGATAACGCAGGTAAAAGCTCAGGCTGTTGATAAGGTCGTCAAAAGCAGAGCAATTTAGTGAAAAGCCTGCCTGTAGAATATGTGTACGAGAGTGAGTCAGAGTGTGTTTGTCATCTCTCGTCATTTTACACCCACACCCATGTAGATTTATTGCACCTTTGTGAGCAGGAGTGGGAAAAACTGAAGGTCTTCAAATAAACTCTGCCTTTTTTCTTATTGAACAGAATCGTTATTGATTAGTAAAGAAGGAAAAGTGATCTTGTTTTTCTTTCTCTGACCGTCACAGCATCATTAAAGTAGTTTCACAACTCCGTTGAACGGAATAACCTTAGGTTTAAGTACAGCAGCTGAAAGCTTAAAATATAAAAACAATTTATTTGTCAGCTTGTTAGATGAAAACACATCCACCAAATATACTTTTCTCATGTTCAGTCATAGCATAAGGATCAAAAGTAGGAGTAGACCTTAAAAAAAGGCTGGTTAGGACGGGGTTTAAATCTTTGCAGCACAGGATCCAAGATGCTGGAAACCTGTTGGTCAATGCTGGGATAATAGTGTTACGCTGTAGCTGCACATTTTCATTTACACATTCTTGACACAAATCTTCTGTCTGGCTAATCCACATCAAAGGTGCTCTCCTGGCTGGAGATCTTCTGTGGCATTTAAGCAATATTCAATTAGAAGCGACGGTTCCCTTGTGTGGAAGACAAACATCTCAACCACCAGCTGATTGAACCTTTAAATAGTAGGAAAAATGGGTCAGTGCTTTTATCTGGGTTCCAATATCACCAGCATCTGAATGTAGCTGGAAAATACAGATAACAACGAGAAAACTACTGGGCACTAGATTATTTTGGTTGTTCAGACTATTCTCTCCTTCTTCTCTCCTAACACTCAAAACAATAATAAACTGTTGGACAGGTGTACCTATCAGACAACTCTTTTTTTTTCAGGGCTTTTATCCTCCCTGACCTCAGCCTTGAACACAAGACCTTCTATAAAAAAAAAAAAAGACATGTTCACAGACTGTCCACCATTTGAATTTCTTGAGTGTGAAGAATTCATTTGTCCTTCAGAGTCAGGGATGTGGCGTCTTTCCACACGTATAGTTCGGTGAGAAGGAGAATGGAAAATCATATTTTATGACACTGGGTTTGTTTGTTCCCCCGAGTTCCTAATCTTACATTAGAATCTGTTTCTTCAACTGAAAATGAAAGAGGACTGTTTATTCTATCCGAGCGCTCATCCCGTTAATACTCAGACACACCTGTGGTTGCATTCATCTTTAATCCCCTGGAAAATCCTTGCCAGTCCAACGTCCTTTATCTCAGTATTTTAGACGTCTCCTTTGTTCTAGTTTACGGATTGAGCCTTGAAAGTGATTTATATTCTTCCGAAAGCCTCTTTTCAGCCTGTTTACTGAGCATCAAGCGGACATTACAGATTGGCCTTGAGTTATTGATGTGTGCATCAGTAAAAAGTGTCCTTGTGATGGTGAAAGAGAGTCAGTTGTCAGCCCTTTTTCTTATGAGTGATGATGCTCAATCTGTGTGTGATGAGTGATTTACGGCGCCTGGAACTGTATGTTCCTAACTTCTCAAAACATCTGAAAATCCACGCAAAGGTGTCGGCGTGTACGTGATTGAACGTTCCCGTCTTGTGCTAGACTTGTGTAAACAGGTGCTGCATCACTCATACGTGACAGACCACAACTTTGATGCGGTGTTGTTGTTGTTATGCTGTGCATTTGTGTCCTCACCCCCTGTGAGAAGTAAAACGCTGCGATGCCCAGAGGCCAGAAGCAGCAGAGCATGGAGAAGATGGCCAGGCCCAGGTGATCTCGTGGAGGCACCACGATGAAGTTGTCCTCACTTTCACTGTCGCTGGAGCAGTCTGTCTGCACACAAACACAACAGCAAAATCAGGACACAGCGCAGCACACACACATTGTTTTACCCTGTATGTAGAAAGTGTTACAGTCAACAACAAGTGGGTCAAGTCAGCAGTTGAGTTCAGTTCTCACTTAGAATCCAAGTTTTAGACATTGGTTTTTGGCTGGGCTTTAGAAATTAATGACATCATCATTTTTAAACACATTTCAACAACTGTATGTCCAATAATTCATTTGAACATAAACATTCCATCCACTTATCACACAAATCAATGCACACGTCATTATTTGCACACACTGTGGTCAATTTTCCCAAAGCACCTCAGCCTAGAAATACTATCTTAATACCCAGCATGCATTTGTGCATTTGACTTATTTCCACATCAATAATTCCATCATTTGGATTAGTCACAAATAAAAACAAGTGCTAAACACATACCTCAGGAACATGGATGTATCCTGATTTGTCATGAATAATCAGGATTATTGGTAACCTGGGATTAATCAGGTTCAAATGTTAGTTTCTATTTAGTTTTTACAGCCCATGTTTTTTTAAAGATACTTCTCCGTTTCTGTGTTTTCGACGATGAGTTGCGTACAGGTGGACTGGATTTTATAGTCAGTTGGAGACAGAATGTATTCGTACAAAAGGAACAAATGCATTTGCATAATGGGAATCAAAACGCAGAGCTGTCGGCACAGGCTGGATCATTTGGTTCTGTGTGAAGTCACACCTTGTACTCGCGGACTTTTTGTGACGGGCCATTTGTTTTTCATTAGTTTAAAAATATGCAGATTCTTATATTTGACGTATGAACAACAAAAGGCATTAGAAAGAGCTACGGTTGAAAGTGCACTTCATTTCAGACGTGGAATGGTTATGAATCAAACGCACCTCCCCCCTAAAGCTTTATGAAACTATTTCACGCTCGGCGCAACATTCGTCACTTAGGGCAGCAGCACCTACAGCAGAAGATGATCACACATCTGCATAGGCTTTAAAGGAAGACAGATTCTCAGCTGTGGTGTAGTTCCATCAGAATATTCTACATCTGCTGAAGTCAAGACTGTGTCTGCTTTAAGCTTGTACTAGAGTTGATCAGTCAAGTCAAAGAAGGGATAAAGATTTAGTGTTGACTGAGTCTGTAATGGAAATAAACCTAGCAACAGGTGAAGGTCAACTTATCTACAGTGGCATCAGCTGCGTCCTTCACACACACCCCCGTCTGATGGATGGATCCAGTGTGAGGTTGGATTATGTGTCATGTCATCAGGTCCACATGAATTAACAGTCAGATAAAGGAAGTGTTTTCTTTCGTTCTCGTCATTTACCATTTCATAGGTTTCATTGGATTATAATTCTATGTTATATTTTAAATAATAACAAAACAATAATAAAACAGATGGTTTGAGCTTAGATGAAAAAACAAACAACGTCCAGGCTCTCTCTCTCTCTCACGGTGATAGTGGGTATATTATAGTATGGAGTATAGAACACTGTTGTGACATGTCTCAAATGAAACGATATCTTCAGGTTTCGACCAATCCTTCAAAAATCTGCTCCTTATTTTGTGTGTAATATTCAAAAAGTCATAAAGCACCAAAGTTACATTTGGATTTTAATCAGTTACTTTGCCTTTTCACCTACTGCGTTGACTAAAGTGTTGACTAAAATTATCCAGTGTCTGGTAGAAATATTAGTAAGTAGTGTTTTGCATTTTAATGATTGGAACCCAAAAATGATTTCCTTGAAGAAATTCAGCAGCAAGTTAAAAGATAGAACAATTCATTTGTCTGTCGCTGTTAAAACCAAGCACAAAATCCTGACAAGACGATCGATACATTTTTTACTGTCTTCATAATGCAGCACTGACACAGGAAATAATGACAGATAATGAAAAATGTAGTCTGCATTCTGCATAATGTCATTCTGTAATTATGGCCCTGAGCATGTGCTACAGTGCAATCTATGCACAGCCAGCCCTGTTCTCCACTGCGCCTTACAGCTTAGTGACGATATCTGCACAACCTCCTGGCTGTTTGGAGAACAGAGAACACACAGAATCCAGGGG